CCCCAAAACCCCAAAACCCCAAAACCCCAAAACCCCAAAACCCCAAATGTTAACGAACTTATTGCGGATGAATATAAAATTAAAACTTCATGCTTTCTTCAAGCAACTCAATCGATTTGCTGAAAACGTTCTCTAAGCAGCTCGGTAAATTAGAAAAGACTAAGTCTGATAACCACTATAATGACTCGGATCTGGACGAGGATCAGACCCCCTCTAAAATGAATTTTTCGAAAAGTATTTCAGCCAAAACCTCCTCTAAAAAGGAGCAGAACTTCAAGGTTGTGGTGAGAGTGAGACCTCCTCTGCCTAGAGAAATAGATACACATGCAGGATTTTCATCAATAACTCATATCGCGAAGAATAATAAATAGTGTCACCGTTCAGGAATATTTGGGAGCTGAAATTAAGGAAGGTGGCAGACAGAAAGAAATAGCTTCAAATCCCAACATCTGTGCTTACCACACTTTCAAATTTGATTATGTGTACGATGAGAATTCATCTCAACAATTTCTATATGAGAATACTGCTAAATCAGCTGTTCTCTCTGTGCTTGAGGGCTATAACGCAACTCTTTTAGCATATGGGCAAACTGGAACTGGAAAAACTTACACAATGGAAGGTTTCAGTAATAGTCTGAATGATCCTCAGAAAGGAATCATTCCGAGATCAATGGAAGAAATATTCAAATTCATTGAGAATAGTTCTAACAAGAGCAAGACTTTCATGGTAAGGGCGTCCTATCTCCAGATTTATAATGAGATCATTACGGATTTGCTTAAGGAAGAGATGACTCCTTTGCAAATTAGGGAAGACAAAAAGAAAGGCGTTTTTGTTGAAGGACTTTCTGAATGGGTTGTTAGATCTCCAACTGACATCTATAACCTCATGAAGGATGGTATGAGGAACCGAGCCACGGCTGCCACCAATATGAATGATATTTCGTCCAGATCCCATGCAGTTTTTATGATAATTGTTGAGCAAATGAGGGATATTGGAGACAAATCTGAAGATCATAAAGGGAAACAACATGAAACCGCTAGAGAAATCAAAGTTGGAAAATTAAATCTTGTGGATCTTGCAGGAAGTGAGAGGGTTAGAGTAACAGGAGCAACTGGAAAGAGACTTGAGGAATCTAAATCTATTAATAAATCGTTATCTTGACTAGGAAACGTAATCACAGCTCTAACTGACAAGAAATTCAGATCACATATTCCGTACAGAGACTCAAAACTCACGAGAATCTTAGAAGATTCGTTAGGAGGGAATTGCAAAACAACGATGATGGCAATGATTTCGCCTAGCTATGATGCCTACTCCGAATCTGTATCCACCCTCAAGTTTGCAACAAGAGCAAAGAAAATTAAGAACGAGGCTAGAATTAATGAGGATGTCGACCAAAAAGCTCTCCTGAGAAAATACGAAGTTGAACTCAAGAAACTCAGGAAGCAACTTGCTGAAAAGAGAGATGAAATATTCTCTAAAGAAGAGATGATGCGTCTCAAACAAGACAGACAGAAAGCAGAGAAGGATAAGGAAGCTGCCATTTATGCACTAGAGTCTAAATACAAGGAATATCTTCAGGAGAAAGAAAACCAAATCCGCCAACTCACTTCCCAATTGCTAGTTGGAGGTCAGAGAATCGAAGAGACACCTCAGTTCAGGTCTGCACTTGAAACCAAACAAAAGTTGATCCGAGAAGAGTATGAAGAAAGATTGCAAGAAATAGAAAAAGAACGCCAAATGATTGAAGCAGATAAAGCTCAAGTTGATCGTTATAAACAGCTTTTATTAAAACAACGTGATATAATGCTCGCCCTTACAGCAAGAATTAACGAGAGAGACGATACGATAATTCAGCTTCAGGAAGAACTAGACGCTATTGAGCAGATCAATAAAAGACTGATCGAGGAAAGGAGTAAGTATTATGCGATCAATACATTTTTAGACAGAGAAGTTGAGCTCGATTACAATGATGAAAATTCCCAAAAAGAGCACAAGAACCAGTCATATCCTCTTACAGGAATAATTCCTCCCGAAATATTGTTCGGAAAGGATGCTCCAGACAAAGAAGCTATGATGAAGCTCATGACTTCAGACGAGATCATTGAGGAATTACAAAAGCTTGCATACCAAAGCAATAGCATGAACAGATTGGTAAACCATGATGATAAAGAAAATTATAAAGAGATAGAAAAGCTAAATCAACTAGAAACTAGGCTGAGAGAAGTCACCAAAGAAAATGAGACTCTTATTGATGAATTACAAGATAAATAAATTTGAAGTGTACAAACTTAAGAACGGTTACCAATCAACTTGTGATACATATGGCAAAGTAGAGCATGCTCTAGAAGAGAAGATTTGAACTACTCTCAAAAAGATGGGGACAAGTAAGAAACAAATAGGATCTATCCAACAGATTATCAACCAGACTATGGAAGAGTTTAGGAGCAAAATTTTATCCGAGTCTGAGTCAGATATGTGAAACTATCAAGTTAGCTTGAGAAAGAGTGAGAGTTTTAAACCGCTGAATTACAAGAAATACTTGAAAAAGTCTAATTCAAACTCAAGTGATAGTGAGGTTGGTTGAAAATCTATTCCAGGGAGTGCTATCAAAGCATTTAACAATAGAGGTTCAATCTCAAACAGAAATATGGAAAATATGTCAATGAAATCTATCACAAGCAAATCCAATAATGGAACTTGCAACAAATCTGCTTCAAAAACAAAGAAGGGAGGATTTACTCAGAAATTATCAACCACTACAAAAAAGACTAAGAGTAAGAGAAATGGTAAAGAGAGGATGAACATAGTGCCTTTTAACGGCTATGTTCCGGATATGATTCAAAACGAAATTTGCAATTCTAACAAATAATCCCTTCAATGCGTAAATAATTAAAAGGGGTTTTGGGGTTTTGGGGTTTTGGGGTTTTGGGGTTTTGGGGTTTTGGGG